TAAGACATAGAAATATGAAAATATATAACATAATTGTATTTAAAGGGCAAACCGATTGGCGACTTATTAACAACGCTTGACATTCATGACACTATCACTTATTAATTTATGAATTGATTATATTATTAATTAAACGGTCGACCAATTCATTGACTGAATCCAAAAATAGTAGATATTCTTCTGGACTGTTGTGAACGCATGTTATGTCCGAAAGAGAAGGCGCACTGAACTTTGCACACCGAGTCGTTCAATATATCCTGTCGTGAATGCGACGAAAATAATTCATTGCAATCATTGATCCGAAGTGATTGACATCTTATCTGAAAATGAAATAAAGTTTAAAACATGTCAATAGGTTTGACTCGTGAGGATGACTGACCCCTTCAAAAGTGCAAATACAGTTAACGCACGGAGATATTCTGTCAGCCCTTCCGATGGCCAGAACTCTATTATTAACGACACAAGAGTTGCCTCTTTCTCGCCATTGCGTCAAATCTATTGATGGCATCGAAGAGCACGGAATCCGAGGATTTCTATCAAATTATAGACATAATGAATATTTATGACATATTATCTTAAATTGTATGCAATGGTGGGTAACTAACAAGAATGAATCTGGTAAATCCATAACTTGTCGCTGAATAGTGTCAATACTGTCAGAATTTTCGCATAAAACTTTAGCCAAAGTTATTTTCCTAATCTCTGCCAATTGTTGTTCACTGAATCTTATGAACGGATCTGAAGTTTCGTACCTTTTGATGAAAAAAGTTAACATTTTAATGAATTCTTTAAAAGTGATTAATAAAATGTATACCAAAATCGATCGCATTTTTTGAGTTTCTGAAACTGCATTCCTATAATACAGGCAAATGTGGGGCCAATGAGTCCGCCGTGAACTGGAGTTTCGGGTATTCCTCCGGAAAACAGATCGATATCATCGACATTCCTGTTGTGGTCACGGATTGTATTGTATTTTATAAAATAAAATGTATAACTTATTACAAAATATAATTACTCATATATTTTCTTATATCTTTCGACAATAAATTTTGGCGTTTCTGACAATAAATCGTCAAACTTTTTAGCTTTTGTTAGATTACAAACGCGTCGATATTCATTGTAAGGTTGGATTCCGTGGTCTCTCGCTCTTTGTAACTGTTATATTAAAGATATTATAAATATATAGACAAATATTTTTATCACATTTGTAATGAAAATTAACATTTAGTGAAATCAAATCCATTCCCGAAAAAGGTTTTTTAATATCTTCGAGCAAATGATTGGTCACTTCTTCGGTGATGGCGTGATCTAGCGTTTCAACACTTTGTGTCGATATTCCTCTGACTATGTTATCCAAAGCTAAAGCTATTGTTTTAAATTTTAAACAAAAATTATAATAATAATTAATAATAATTTCGAGTAAAACTGAATATAAAAACACAAACGCGTGAAAAGCATGTCTGAATTGAAGAAAGCTGTCCGTAAAGTTAACGGCTCTTCAACGGGCCTATAATTTCTGTCCAATCTTTCAAAGTGTGGTTTGAGAAGACTGTGTCCGAACCGGAAGACTGCGGCCGCGAATTCATTATATACTGTTGAACTGCACTGACTATCGTATCCATTGTGATATCCATTTGGCAAAAGAGTTAATCCAAATCTATTGAGAAAATCTCTGCCTATAATTCTGGGCAAAAACTCTCCGTAAGTGATCTGTTGTAGAATTGCAGACAATATTCTCCTTCCGTTATGATATAGTTGTTCGTCATTCCAGTGAGGATTCACTTTAGATAAGCCGTCGACGAGACGGTTGTGTTCCCGCATAAACATTGTATGAATGCCTGATATT